GCGCCAAGGCTGGCGGGGGTCCCTCGGCGGCCACCGATGGCGGGCAAAGACTCGGGGCTCGGCTCGCCAGGCCCTCTAACGGGCTCGGCAGAGCCGCCCTGCCCCCATCCGAGCCTGCTGCCGCCCCACCGCAGCCCGAGGCACTAGCTGAGTAGCAAGAGATGGGGGACTGGCAGCGATCTTGGCTGAATCTCTGGAGCCTGCAGGCGAACGCCATTCGCTGTCTTTCCTCAAACGTTACGTTGGGCTCCTTCTTCCTCCCTTCCCTCCTACCCACATTTCACTTTATACCAAACTTGGGGGGAAGGAGGCGTTTGCAGGCCAGAGAGGAGGAGACTGAGGAAAATGCATGAAATGAAATGAAATGAAATGAACCACCGAAATATGTTATGCCACCTGTTTCCCCTTTGGAAGTGTAAGTCCTGGCCCGTAGGTGCTGGAAGTAGAGTGTGGGATGGGGGGAGGGGAGGTGCTGACTTAAAGTAGTTCCCATTACGTACAGGGTTTACAACAGGGGTGTGGAACCTAAGGTCCAGGATGCACCCCTCAGCTTGGATTTGGCCCCAGAGGCTCAGGACTCCCCTCTCTCCCCATCATTGGTGCCTATCACTATCCTTCTCAGCTGCCAGGTTTTTGTTTGCTGAGGGGGGGGGGCATGTTTTGTTTTGTTTGCTTCACTTCTCACTTATGTGCAGCCCCAACTGGTTTTTCTCTGAGTCAGTGGCCCCCCCAACCCTTAAAGGGTTCCTCACCCCGGTTTACAGTTTATTCAATGGCTCTCAGCAGTCCCTCTATAAAAATTGTTCCAGCACCGCTGCCTGGCCAGGTTTGGATGCAAAGCTGGCATCACTCATGTGACATCATTTTGCAAGTACAGTAAGTGGTATGCCTAAAGTTGTACCAAAAACTTCTGGATTGTTTTTAAAAGGATATGTCATTCATATTTTGTGTATGGCGTGTGGAGAGCAGTGTTAGAAACACTGCTGGCCTACAGCATTAAACACACCACATAAAAATATCTCAGATATTTTTGAACTCAGTGGGAATACAGGAGACCCTTGCAATTCACAGAATAGCTGTTCTTGATTTTGCATCTTCATGAGTCTGTCCCATCCCCCTATTGCACCCATTCCCTGGGTGGGGGGTGGAGTGGGAGGAAGAATGCAGCCTTGGGAGGGGCTGTTGTTAGACAGCAGCAGTGTAAGGGCCTTCTTCTTCCACACTCACTGCAGCAGCCAGCAGTTGCGCTGAGCTCACAGTGAGTACCCTGGACCCCATAGTGAATTCCATGTGGCTTCCCGGCCTCCATGGTGAGGTCTCTACAGCTCCTGGCAGCCACAGTGAGCTCCCTGCAACTCCCAACCTCCATGGTGAGTTCAGGAGACACGGGGAACTCACTGCAGGAGCTGGGAGCTGTGGGGAGCTCACTGCATGGATTTCACCATTCGTGGTGGTGCCAGGAATGCATCCACTGCAAAGGACAAGGGTTTAACTGTATTCACATGCTTGGAGCTACTTGCCCATGTGACTATTTTCCAGTTCAAGATCACAGAATGCATTGAATTAGGTAGATGAGCCACTACCAGTCCACCTTCCAGTAGGGTGTAAAGTGGAGTAAAAACACTTTCCAGATTTTCTAAATGTCGTGGACTATGCTGATGAGAAATTTTTAAAAGATGATTTTTCCTTCAAATTATTTTGCAGAAAAAAATCCCAGTTTCACAATCAGCTCTAGTTTTATATCTGAATAGTTGTACTCCTACAGTGAGGCACTGGGAAAGTAAGGTCATGAAAATGATTTGCTAGCACTTTAGCTTTGAGTAATACTTAAATGAATGCCACACAATACAAATACAATATACTGTCTGCTTACTTTATTTCAAAAATGTTATTTCATAATCCCACAATTTATTTGTGAAATGCAAAGTCACTTAAACCTCTTTTCAATGCTTTCTTTAAAAACAAATAATACATTCGGTTTTGTAAGCATCTCACCTGTGCAGGATCATATTTGCAACACTTCAGATGATCGTTAAACTGAATATGAATTCCTCTTACAATAATAGCCTTCAGTAAACATTGTTATATAATGTTACAGTGCAAAATAATGGGACAGTAGTAAGTGCTGGCTTGCATTACAGCATGTGCAACCACCAATACGGTGGATGAATACTCCATGAATAAGCAATAACCAAGTAAGAATTATTAACTACAGTAGACTTCCGATAATCCAGCACCCTTGGGATCCAGGGGGTGCCGGATTATCGGATATGCTGGAGTATCCGGAGGTACTCTAGCGGGGTGCTGTGACATATCTGCTGGGACCCACACCGTGTGGGGGGGTCGGTGGGAAACAGCACAGCAAGGGGCGAACCCTCCGCACTGTTGCAGGGAGGCGGTGGAAGCCCCGCACAGCCGGCTTGCAAGCGGGGAAACTTGTAGGCGGCGGCAGTAGAGAAGGAGCAAGAGGCAGGCAGCTGTTTAAGGTGGGCAAGCGAGCAGGGGGTGTCGGCGGGGAACGGCGCAGCGAGGGGCGAACCCTCCGCTATGTTGCAGGGAGGCAGTGGAAGCCCTGCGCAGCTGACTTGCAAGCGGAGAAACTTGTAGGCAGCGGCGGCGGAGAGGGGGTGAGAGGCAGGCAGCATTCCCTGCCGACCCCCCCAACCCCTGCCCCCCCGCCTTAAACAGCTGCCTGCCTCTTGCTCCTTCTCTCCTGCCGCCGCCTACAAGTTTCCCCGCTTGCAAGCCGGCTGCGCGGGGCTTCCACCGCCTCCCCGCAACATGGCGGAGGGTTCGCCCCTCGCTGCGCCGTTCCCCGCCGACACCCCCTGCTCGCTTGCCCACCTTAAACAGCTGCCTGCCTCTTGCTCCTTCTCTCCTGCCGCCGCCTACAAGTTTCCCCGCTTGCAAGCCGGCTGCGCGGGGCTTCCACCGCCTCCCCGCAACATGGCGGAGGGTTCGCCCCTCGCCACACCGTCCCCCGCCGACACCTCCTGCTCGCCCACCCGCCTTAAACAGCTACCTGCTTCTCACCCCTTCTCTGCCACCACCACTTACAAGCTTTCCCACTTGCAAGCCGGCTGCGCGGGGCTTCCACCGCCTCCCCACAACACAGTGGAAAGTTCGCCCCTCGCCACACTGTTCCCCGCCGACACTCTTCCCTCCTCCCCCTCGCCTGCCCGCCCACCTGCCTTCCTTCCTTTCTTAAACAGCTGCCTGCCTCTCGCTCCCTCTCCGTCACCACCTCTGGGCAGCTCCAATTGTCCGGATGTCCAGAGCACTTCCGGGTTCCAGTTGTTGCCGGACTATCAGGAGTGCCGGACCACTGGATGCCGGACAATTGGAGTTTTATTGTATTATGAATATAGAATTATCAGTTTGGGCCAGATTGTGAACCCCTGAGAAGCCTCACTGAAATGCTTGAAATGGGATTAATCATGTTTAAATGTTCAACAATGTGAGCAATAGATTTATATTAAGATCTATTAAAATGTGGGATTTTCAAAAGTGTTCAGCTTTGGCCTAACTTTGTTCTATTGATCCCACTTTTCTTTGCTTTTTAAGATTTAAAAATGTACATTTCATCACAACCTTAAGACCAATCCAAATGAAATAATATTCATTCAGCAGTCATCTAAAAATATAAAAGTAATATGTCTCTTTAGAAGAAGAAACAAATATTATACATGTACATATATATTCATCTGCCTCAAATGCAAGTCAACAGTCATAGCAAAATTTCCCAAGGATATATAGTTATGCTCCTTCCTAACAGAACTACATATAAGATTTCATTCTCAAGAAACCTGGTATAAATACATTCCCAAAATCTACTGTTGCTTGAAAAAATGTTATTTATTTGTAGCACTTTAAATACTAACAAAACATGTAGATGGTATCATGAGCTTTCGTGGGCACAACCCACTTCTTCAGATGACCGGAGTGTTGGAAGTCCAGATCCAAGAATCTCTGACGAAGACATGCATCTTATGAAGTGGGTCTTCACCCTCGAAAGCTTATGCTCCAATACATCTGTTAGTCTATAAGGTGCCACAGGACTTATTGTTCTTGCAGATTCAGACTAACACAACTACCCCTCTGATACTATTCCCCAAAGAGTATATGTAACCCACACACCTAGTGGTTGTGGTTAACTGACCCACGTAGTGGCACTTAGACTACTTACAGTGAGAGATAAGAATTAATGACCTAAGCTGCAAGTTAGCTGACTCTATAACTCAAGCTGTAGAGACTTCTGCACTAAGCTCCAGAGGTCCCAGATTTGAATATACTTGCAGGCTGTTACAAGTGGGGGCTCATTGGGATCTCAGCTGGGTCTCTGAACCTCTGGATGCCCTTCCTCATCTAGGGGAAGTATGTAAGGGTATGTCTACACTACCCCGCTAGTTCGAACTAGCGGGGTAATGTAGGCATACCGCACTTGCAAATGAAGCCCGGGATTTGAATTTCCCGGGCTTCATTTGCATAAGCGGGGAGCCGCCATTTTTAAAACCCCGCTGGTTCGAACCCCGTGCAGCGCGGCTTCCTAGTTCGAACTACCGTTACTCCTCATTTCACGATAAA